TTTTTTTTTTTTCAGTATTTTGAGTGCATAGCTTTTGTAAACAAAAGATAGTTTCTTCACCCATATGTATCATTCTGCACTGTTGTAAAAGCTGTAGCAAAATGAGGTAAAACTGGCTTGAAATCATGCTTAAATTCTAGTGTGAAGATGTTAGAGGTAGCTAATCAAATTATGCGGTTTGGGTAGTTATGGGAATTTGGAAGTAAACTTTTTTAAGAAATGTAAAGGGAGAGACTGCTTCTGATTTCTTGCCCGCTTTTCTGTCTTACTGAGTGGAATCTGCCCTGAGAGGCAGAATTTGCACATAGGTCACATACTGAGTAATTTAAAAGCAGGTTCTTACTCTGATCCCAAACATTCTGATTTGGTAGGTCTTAGGGTGCATGATCCAGATACTCTGTTAATAATTTTTCTGACCAGCCTTTGAGAAACGCTTGTTTGTAGTCTCTCACCTTTGCTCCCAAAGGTTGCACCTAATGTAGTGGAGATCATTCTTACAGCACTTAATTAACTCTTGGCCCTGTCTTTGGGAGATGGGGTATGGCTAGAAGTCTGCTTTTTAGGATCACCTGTATCTCAGAAGCTTGGCTAATAACAGATTTAGAGGAGCCCACAGTCTTAGACTAAGTCTAAATGATCTTGAAATGGAGTTTATTGAACTTAAGGCTAATTTACAAATACTGCGTTTACAACTGTTTCCATTTACTCATGTATGTGGTATAGTCTAACTCTGGCCATGGATCTATTTCTGGTTATTTCCTGAACTAAAACTTGGTATTCATCTATTTGTTTGTTTGTTTTTTCCTCTCTCTTTGAGTTTATTGGTAGTTTTTAGGTATACAGTACAGTTACATACATCATTGGGATCTTGTACCTTTACATGACAGGTCTTGGTTCTCATTTTTTCCCCTTGTCCCTGCCCTCCCTTCATCCCCTTCTCTCCCTATTTACAAACACTTTATTTCCATTTTTTCATTTTCTCATACTTTTTTTCTTTTCCCTTATTACCTTTCCCCTATGCTACCCACTTCCACTACACCTTTAGCCCTTTTCTTCCTATTTCACATTGTCAATTATACCATTAGGATTTTATGTACCATTACAGTTTTTCACACCAGAGAAAACTTCGGTATTTATACATGTGTGACTTATTTATTTCACTTAGGAGTATATCCTCAATATGTATCCATTTTCCAATCAATGACTAATTTCTCATTCTCTATGGCTGTGCAGTATTCCATTTTATAGAAAAATCACATCATCTTTATCCAGTCTCCAACTGACGGGCAAATGGGCTGTTTCCAAGTTTTACCTGTTGCAGACTGCTGCTATAAACATAGGTGCACATAATGTCACTGTGATGTGATTCTTTTAATTATTTTGGAAAGATACCCAGCAGAGGGATGGCTGGGTCAAATGGAGCCTCTAATCCTAGCTAGTTCTTTGAGATGTCTCCATATTGATATCCATAGTGGTTGCACCAGTTGATATTCATCTATTATAAGTACTAAACTTACAAATCCAATTTACAGGTGAATCAGTGGCTGACTTGGCTAGAAACTGCTGAAGAAGAAGAATCAGAGGAAGAAGCTGACTAAAGAACCAGCCAAAGCCTTAAATTGTGCAAAACATACTGTTGCTATGATGTAACTGCATTTGACCTAACCACTGCGAAAATTCATTCCGCTGTAATGTTTTCACAATATTTAAAGCAGAAGCACGTCAATTTAGGATTTCCTTCTGCATAAGGTTTTTTTGTAGTGTAATGTCTTAATCATAGTCTACCATCAAATATTTTAGAAGTATCTTTAATGTTTAGATAGTATATTAGCAGCATGCAATAATTACATCATCAGTTCTCAAGCAGAGGCAGTCTATTGCAAGGACCTTTTTCGCTGCCAGTTATCATAGGCTGTTTTAAGTTAGAAAACTGAATAGCAACACTGAATACTGTAGAAATGCACTTTGCTCAGTAATACTTGAGTTGTTGCAATATTTGATTATCCATTTGGTTGTTACAGAAAAATTCTTAACTGTAATTGATGGTTGTTGCCGTAATAGTATATTGCCTGTATTTCTACCTCTAGTAATGGGCTTTATGTGCTAGATTTTAATATCCTTGAGCCTGGGCAAGTGCACAAGTCTTTTTAAAAGAAACATGGTTTACTTGCACAAAACTGATCAGTTTTGAGAGATCGTTAATGCCCTTGAAGTGGTTTTTGTGGGTGTGAAACAAATGGTGAGAATTTGAATTGGTCCCCCTTATTATAGTATTGAAATTAAGTCTACTTAATTTATCAAGTCATGTTCATGCCCTGATTTTATATACTTGTATCTATCAATAAACATTGTGATACTTGATGTAGTTGTATGTAACTTTAAATGTCAAGATTTATGTAAAGTTGTTAGCTTTTATTTTGAGGAGCAGAACACCCATCAGTTTAAAGACTTGATGACTTTTTTATTAATGTTTTTACTACACAGTGATTGCTGCATTCTTTGTGAGTACTTGGTACAAGTCTATGATGCATCTTAATTTTACTTCCCCTGCTCAATTTATCCTCTGGTCCCTATTTACAAATTCATAATTAGATTCCTGTTCCATGAGACTGATTCAGGGTTATTCCTGCTTAGGTCAGTTTATCAGAATCAACCAGTACAATAACTTCTTAAACATTACACATTGAAATAGACTAGTGATCTCTAAGCATGGTCATGATGCAGACGTCACTGCCAGTAGTTGTCCTTACATCACTGAAAGTTCCCATTCCTTGTAAGAAGTAATCAGTGTCCCAGCGAAATTTTCTGCCTTTTTGGTCCAATTTAAGGTCTGTAAGGAGGTTAAAGTATATTTTTAGAAGCTACTGGAGACTTTAATCATACTCCCAGACCTGTATCATGGCTGAGAGCAGCCTGGTCTTTGGGGAGACCTTCAAAGGTAGTCACTGATCCTGGTACACCCTGTATACCTGTATGGTTTTTCAGCAGCCATCTTAAGAGTATAGCTTTTGGATGTTTTAACTACAGCAAAATTAAGGATAGGCAAAGACAAGTTTCAAGAGACTTGACTTTGAAGACTATAAATAAAAGCTGAGCTGTAAGTTCAGTTCTATCCCACTGCCAGCTCTTCCCAAGGGGTAGGAAGTGCAGCAGAGGCAGCATATTCTAAGGGGGGTGTGTTGGTCACCAGAGTGCATTTACAGCCAGGCTCTAGCTGAGCTAGAGTGCTGAGCAAAAGGTCAGTAAGAGCTGAACTTGCTGTGTGCTGGTTCGTGGTTAAACTCCAGGAGTTGTTCCTCCATCTTCCTATTCTATATGCTTCATGAGTTTCTGGAATACTTCACAGATCCCTAGACAATAAGCCTTACTGCTGTGTTGCAGCTGAATAGTATTTTTTTAAAGTGCCATATCATAGTACAACTATTGGGCGTATTTCACACATACCTTGCCTAAGTGACTTACATAGCATTATCATAATATACAGTAATCTCTTACAAATGACATTGCCCATCTTTACCACATTTTTGCCTTTCTCGTTTGCCATTCAACTCCTCTAGCCTCAAACCTCATTAAAGCCAAACTCTGAACCCCACCCCAAAACCTTTTCAAGGTCACCAGTATGTTTCAAGAGTTCATGGTTCTACTTCACCTACCATTTCCTCAGTCTGATAGGAACCGCCTGAACCTCAGATCACTTTTTTCCAACATTTAGTCTTGACAGAAACAGGAGCAAAAGGAATTTCAAGTCTTGCCACTCAGCTCAAGACCCATCAGATAGTTTTCACCTTGATTTAAGTCAATCCTTAATTTGGGCCTCTGCTCCATTACTTAGACCTTGTCTCAAGTCTTTGTGCTGTTCAGATCTGGTGCTTCCAGCACTGCCTCCTTTTAGCTTATCTGTTAGCTATCAGTAGAAATGGTTCATTCAGCATGGCTTTCTCTGCCAAGACTGAGGAGTCTGTACTGATTAGTTCTTGGTTGCAAAGAAAATGTTGACATCTAAGGAGAAAGGAAGTTTGTTGGAAGTCCACTTAACGGGACCTACAGGGAGGCCAGAGAGCCAGGCTTAGAAATGAGCAGTGACCAAGGGCAGCTACGCAGCCTGAACAAGTAGCCTGGCTGGATTCAGGAGACAGGCCTGTGGCTTCCCCTGCCAGTATCTCGCGATGCCACCTAGAGTTAGAGACTCAAGCAGAAGCCCACACGTGACCATTAGCTAGCTGGGTTTTGCATCCATTCCTCACTGTCTCCACTTCTTTAGCAGAGGATCAGGCCTTTGGGGCCTCTCTTCTGTCAGCTAGGGCTTGAGTCCACTAAGTTCGGGAGGAAAGGACTTGGCTGGGCAGCCAGGACAGAAGAGACCCGCGCATCCTGGGCCCCCTCTGCCGTGGCCCATCTTGGCCCTTCCTGCTTCCACCCAACTACACGTCACTCAAGTCACTGTTCCCGTATTCGGGATCAATAAATAATGGAGGCAACAATGTACTCGGGCTTTGTGAATGTAAATCTTACACAGTTTGCAGGGAAGAGGCTCCTAGAGGAAATGAATACAAAGTTGGATTCCTGCTCCTGAAAGGGTCGTGTAAGAGGGTGGCCTTGAAACTTAAGCTTCGTGGATTTCATGTAACTGGATGAGTGCTACAGCTGACACACTAAACTGAAATAATTCATGTACCTGTCTGCCTAGCCCACTTTGCAGAAGCTATAAGCAGGCTAGTTGTGACTGAACGTTTGCTGAAGTGACAAGCTCTCGCCATTTGTGACTGCCACAGCGTTTCCATTTCCCAGTGCTTCCAACAAAGCACCCAGCTCCCCACCGCAGCATAATTTCCTCATGTTTGTGCACAAACGAGAGAGCCGCCGCCTCAGGGCCAGCCTTGCAGTGAGGATGACGAGGCCTTGTCCATCCATGGGGAGACATAGTGGCTCAGACAGCGACAGGGCCATTCCTGGATGTGACAAAGCGCCAGGTGAGCTGGGAAGAAGAAACATCCCATTGAGCACATGGGGAAAATTTCGGTCCAGGAAAGGTGGCCCTTTCCTCCTAGTAGCCCAGCTTCGTCTTTCTTCCGCCTCCGCAGAGGACCCATCTCCCCTCCACTACCCAGGGACAGATCCCATCCGGCTCCTGTGAATGAGGCGACATCCAACCCTGGTGAAGGGGCTGTGCCAGCCCGCGGTGACCACCAGCTGCCCAACAGGATAGGAGGTCAGGATTTACAAAGCGCTTTCCTGCTTGTCTACATTGAGAGACGTCCTAACAAGGAAAAGCAAGAGCTCTGGCCAGGAAGATGCCTGAGCACAGAGCAGAGCGTGGCAGGAACAGGACACGGTCACACGGCTGCCCGCCCCACCTCGCACCTGGCGTTGCCTCAGCAGGTTGAGACCGACCCTGCCTCCCAGGAGGACAGCTGTCTACAGCGCCCTCTGCTGGGCCGCAGGAGACCATGCCTGGCAGGTACCGGACAGGTTCTGCACCGGGGAGGAGCGTGGGACCAGACTAGCACACCCGCTCCGAGAAGGCCGAGGGGGAATTTTGCCCTTAGCCAGGTCCTCTGTCAGCTGTGGGTGTCACAGCGATGTGGCTGATAAGCAGTTTCCTCAAGGGCTGCTCAGGTCAGCTGTGCAACATCTGAAGTGAAACCAGTGAGAGTAGAGAAAGACAGTGAGTAAATGCTGTCAGATAGTAAATGCTATCTGCAGAGAAGTGAAACAGGGTAAGGGAAAGGGAGTGGTGTGGATGCTGCTTGGAGTCGGGTATTCGGGGAAGGCTGTGTGAGGAAGTAACACTTGCGGCAAAGCTGGAGGGAAACCAGGGGAGGAAACAGCTGCTCCGGGGAGGAAGAGCATCAGGCAGAGGGGAGCCAAAGCCTCCGCCGAGGGGAATCGCACGTGGTGTGTCTGAGGAGCCACACGCAGGGCAGGGTCCGACAGGCGGAAGTGCCCAGTCTGAGGCCAGGAAGAGGCGGGGCGACGTAGAGCCAGTCACCTGCGGTGAGGATTTGGCTGTTCTCTAAGCGAAGTGGCCCATCCTCGGGGCCCAGTCCCTATCACTTAGGGCGTATTCATCACTCACTGAGACTGCCCCTCCCCTGCACTGTCTTTTTTTTTAATTGAATTTATTGGTACATTCTAGGTGGACAGTACAGTTACATTTTACATTCATTACTGGGATCTTGTACCTCTACATGCCAGGTCTTGGTTCTCATTTTTTCCCCTTGCCCCCCCTTCACTCCCTCCTCCCCTCCCCACCTTCAAACACTTTAATAAATTCCATTTTCACATTTTCTCATGTTTTTTTTCCTTTTCTCTTATTCCCCTTTCCCTATCCTTCTCACTGTCCCTGCACCTTTGGTCCTTTTCTTCCTATTTGCTAATTGTCCCATTAGGATCTTGAGTACTATTTTAGTTTTTCACACTAGAGAAACTATTCGGTATTTGCATATGTGTGACTTATTTATTTCACTTAGGAGTATATCCTCAAAATGTACCCATTTACCTATGAATGAATCTACTTTCTCATTCTTTATGGCTGAGTAGTATTCCATTTCATAGAAAAACCACATCTTCTTTTATCCAGTTTCCAACGGATGGGCAGATGAGCTGTTTCCAAGTTTTAGCTATTACAAACTGGCCTGCACTGTGTCTTGAGTCATAGAATTAAGATTTTTCCAGACTTGGGAAAGTTAACACATCTTGTCCAAGGTCTTTCATTTATTCAACAAGGAGTTATGACCCTTTGGCACACTCTTTGCAAGTGCTAGCTCACACAGCTGAAGTCCCAGGTTGTGACTGAAACCCCAAGTTGTGCTTCAGGAGCTAGCACTGATAACCACTGCACCACACTGCCTGTAGGGGGATAGGTAGGAAAAGAGGAGAGAAAGGACAGGACCCACCCCATAAGCAGTGAGCTCCTCCCCCCCACACACACACACACACAAA